TATTTTATTTTTTTTTTACAATTATTTATTATAATTATTACAAAAAATAAAATATTATTTTATAATTCGGCATATGCCGAATTTTTGCCGAGTGGTATTATGCCGAATTTTTACCAAATAATACTATGCCGAATGTTGTATCCAAATGTTTGACGAGTGGCAGCATGCCGAATGACACTATTTTGACTAGTGTATTTTCTATTTTTTTTGAAAAATTCTTTAATAAGACAAGAGATACTTGTCAAATTATTTTCTTTTCTTTATCATTATCAAGAACAAAAATTCTTCTTTAAATGAAACTTTTAATTGTTCCCTTTCTTTTCTTTTTAAGTTCTTGTAAATGAGTTGAAAGATCAATATTAGATATGTTGGAACCAGCCTAGTTGTGCCTTCTATCTTCTTGAGGCTTTCTCAGTGAAATGTTCCATAATTAACTTATATTCAACATCAAGGATAAAGGGATGAATGGCATTATATAAACAAACTGCAATAATCCTTATGAACATAATCTCATCTAAATGAATATTTACTGTTTAAACTCCAAATAATTTTCGAGATTAAACAGCTCTTCTTCACTATTCTCCCTGATGAAAGTTTCCACATATAACTTTTTCCATAGCCTTATAGGATTTCGCAAACTCTATTTGATTTTGTGCGCACATTCTAGATGGCCCTTTCTAATGGAAAATCATAAGTCCTGGTTACTATTCATAAAAGTGCTAAAAATTCTCAATGAAGATATACTTTTTTTCCTTCGCCTTTTCTACTTTATTATTGGTCACATTCCTCATCTCCTGATCGTCAATCGTATCCTTCAAGAGTAGATGGTGGTAATAATAATAAAAATTTACAGTAATAACATCTGACAGATATAATTTACCTCATGATCTGATGTGTCCAATTTATCTCTTTCGGAACTAAAAACACCAGATTCTGCCTACATACGCAGATGTGCTCAGAAAGTCTAAGGAGAATACTTTTTCATGGCTGAACATTATCACAAGTATAATCACCTCGATTCCATAGGACATGGAAGCATTTGACGGATAAGTCAGTGTAAAAGAATCGTGTTGAGGGGATAAAGTTACATCACATGCATTTCTGCTTCGCTCTCATTCCACGGAATCAAAAAAAGGAATAGTCTTCAGAGGATAATGTTTCGCTGTTGCGTTCAGCAACTTTGCTGTATAATCTCACGCTACCCGTTAGATGTACCTGCCGTGCTTTCGCCTATTTTTTTAAAGTTTAATCGTTATCTCATATTGCAAAAACTTTAACACTAAGCCGAAACCTTTTCTCGCTCAAAGATTATTATTTCTCAGTAGATCTACAAACCCGGTTTGCATGTCGTTTTTTTTACTTATAGAAATATGAAAGGAAATAAGTATCTAACTTCTATATGAAAAGTAAAATTTAAAAAAAGATAAATCGCAATAGTAGGGCCGGAATGAGAGTCGATATCTCCTAACCCAGAAATGAATAGGTGGAGTTGCCACTATTATTACTTGGGCTGGATAAGAACCAATACTTCTAATCCAGTCAAGAATAGACAGAGCTCCCTATTATTATTATTATTGCAAAATGCACGAATACATAACCTTCTCTTCCAATGTTGCATAAGGATTATTGCAGTTTGTTTATATAATGCCATTCATCCCTTTATCCTTGATGT